CAAACAGCATGTCTAGGAGGGGGGTCAGGATGATCAGGAGAGGGAATGGGACTTTCCAGAATTTCCAGAACATTCTGTTCTAAATGGATACATTTTGCACATTGATAGTCCATTTTGTTTTCTGTTATTATTGAATTTAATAAGCTGTTTTTGATAGCACTTAAAAGTGCTACCTATTCACTTTGGTGGAAATACACCTTGATATGTATAAATTGTGGGGAACAATATACTCTTCACAATAAGAATAACAAAGAAATATGGTCTGATCATATATCTTTGATGATTATACTTTACAAACATCTTTGACCAAACTGTTTCCAGTATAAAGATGTATTTTGTATTGTTGGTGAATAGTTACTTTTTTGTTTCTTTTTGCAGAGATTGTTGGAGCTCAAAGTGAATGAAAATGACCTCTGGAACTTCTCTGTGGCCTGATTAATTGACAAATGGAAATAGAAAATCACTACTACATTTCATGTGTTCTAATCTGTATAAAATGTAAAAGTTTTTCACACACTGCCTTTTAGAATAGACATGCTAATTTTTTCTCATAAAAGTTCAAACAGCTAAACCTGAGATTTCAGTCTGGCTACAGTTCTTACGTTTTTATTATTGTGATTTTAGCAATTTTACCATGTAGTTTTAAATAAAGTTTGACTTGTATGTAGGTGTGTTTTGAACAATGCTATATGAAGCTCAGACAAGCGATGAGTAATAATAGATTCAGGGGAGAGATGTGTTGATTTTTAAAAACAGTTTATTGCTAGCTTGTTTATAAAAGTGTTAATGAGTTCTCACAAGAAAACTGTGCCATATGATATTGGGCTTGATCCAAAGTGCTCTTCTGAGTGCAAAACAAACAGCATGTTGGGGTACCTTAAAAACTGACAAATTTATTATATATACTTATTATAGTATAAGCTTTCATGGGCTATATAATCGATTTTGTCAGAAAGAGGAGAATTAGATAGCAAGGAGGGAATGAGGAATAGTAAAAACTATAGTAAAAAGATTGAAATGAATATAGTATAAATTACCTAAATAGTGGTCATCGTAGTAATAGTCTCTTAGCACATATAACATGATAATAAATCTTTGTCTTTATAAGAAATAATATTAAATCTCTAATGATTTCCCCCTCAACCATTTATCTGGTTATTGTAGGTCGTTAGCTCAAAAGTGGCTACATTTGAGGTAGTACTGTGGGGATGTTGGTTTGGGACAGTGTCCCAAACCAGTGTCAGATTGGTATCTGTGTGTAAGGACTGACCAACTTATCTATCGTCCTTTTACTCCCTTATGCCATCTCCACCAAAGGGTTGTATATGCAGTACCTTCTTCTCAAAATAGTATTTTGATTAAATGGACTAGCCCCTAAAATGTAAGGAATATTAAATATATTAAATATATGTTCTTTCAGCCACTGCAGAATTCACCAATTGTGTTTTGTACCCTTCAGAGACTGTTTCTTCTGAGTGCAGCTGTTCACCTTGCGATAAAGTATTGTGTGAAAACACATTTAAATCCAGAGTCCTCTGTTCCCAAAATTGGAAGAGTTATTTTTGTTACAACAGTATGAATTTGCATTCTTGCCATGAATGTGCAGAACAGCACTAGTGCCTATTTTTGTTCTATGAAAGCACATGAGATGCCTTACAAGCAGGCTGCAATATATTTGAAATAATGTCTTCCTTTTCATGTGTCTCATAAATGAATTTTCCCCTTGTAAACAGTTTGATTCCACCATGTAAAATCAAATATGTGAGCTTAAAAGTCTATTGCTCTTAGGTGCATGTTGTATAAAGTACTGTATAGGCAAAAAGGGCAGTGACTGTAGACATTCCTGGGGGTGGGAAGTGAATACTTTTGAAGATTAATCTATGAAGTATTAATTGTATCTTGTGCTCTTGTTTAGTCTTGGCTCCACTCAGAAATGCAAGTGCAGAAACTATTCTGCCTTGAAAGGACAGTGTGTGTTTGCTTGTGCTTAAATTTGAGGAGCAACAAGAATATCAAAGCCCAGAAATCCCACCCAATAGAAACCACAAATCATGAATTTGTCATGGTCTTCCATTAATACTTACATTCTTTGTAGGGATTATGGGAAAATAAACACAGAACCAAAGATTCAGAGTATTGCAAGATGCACCCATCTAAAAGTGTGCAATTGAAGTCTCACTGAAGAAATGAATACCTATGCTATATCAAGGGAAATAAATGGGAAATATGTGACAAATGCCCTGAGTTCCAGAGAATTAGCATTAAGTTCCAGCCATTAGCATTGCATTCAAGAGAGGTGGAAACAGTGTTGTCACAACATGGTGCCTCAAGACTCATAAATCCTTTTGAAAATTTTCTTTGATCCAGTTTACAGCATACCATGACTGGATGGCCAGTCACCAGGTCAGCATTCCTCAATCTAATGCTCTCCTATCAACGCTGCTACAAATCGACATGACACGTGTTGCACTACAGTGTGCACTAACCTCTGCCAGTGTAGCCATGAGCTGTGTTGAATAGGAAAAGTGGGGCTTGTAAGTAGTACAGTTGGCGGGTGCCAGGTTGGGAATCTACTATATTGGGCACACTTTAGATAACTAGGAGTACCTAAAGAGTTTGTGTGTGTGCGGTGGGCTAGCATATCCCACTTGGAAATAACATTCAGCAAAAGTGACTAAATTTTGGAAACAGCGTTCAGTAAGTTTTTGTAACAGGATAAAAGAATGAGAAAAGCTCATTCATCAATGTCAAATTTGGATAATTAGTGGAGGTTGCTTCTTTGAGCTTGCATTGCCCAGTTGTTTTTGACCAATGACTCCTTCCTTAAGAGATCTAAATATTGAGATTTCAATCCTCCACCCTTGCCCTCCCTGGTCCTGTGGGCCAACAAAGCTCTCTCTTCTATGCAGTTCCATTTTTTGTATACTGGCCTTGGAGGCTAGAAGTGGGTGTTCACCTTGTTACATAAACTGGTTCCCCTCACTCCATAAGAAATAGCTACTCTTCGGCAGGAAAGATTCCCCACTTTGGAAGCATGAGCCCTTGCTACTTAGCATATTGAAAAAGTGCATTTGTATATTACAGTCCATAATGTTTACCTACAAAATGCAAAAAAGCCCTGACATTACAGTATGTAATATATTATCTTTTCATACAGTTTTTCTTATACATAAAATATTTTTCTCCACATTTATTATTTAATTCCTCCACAGTATCACTCAGAATTTTCAAAGCCATAAAGGTTTGCTGATGAATTAAGTGTGCTGTGTTATCCTGGCAATTGTACTTTGTTAACTGTGGCTTTAGTGAGATTTGCAAACCCAGCCAATTGTGGCTTACTAATATACTATGATGAAACAGACCATGATCTATGTTTCTGTATGGTTGTCCCTAAAAATTGCTTGGGAAGCCAGTCATTTGGCTTTAGTGTGCAGTTTGTGGGTTGGAATTTAGCCCATGGTTGACTTATACTCTGTTGTGGTGGTGCTTTAGCAGTAAATGCTTCCTGGGGCCTTGAACTACACTGCCCATCATCCTCAGCCAGTATAGACCACACCTCCAATGCATCTAGAATGTACAGTGGAATCTCGGGTTACAAACGCTTCTGTTCACGAACTTTTTGGGTGACAACCAGCTCCGGCCCCAAAATTTTGCTTCGGTTTGCGAACTCCACCTCGGGTTATGAACAGGATCCGTGGCCATTTTCCCTCCCGTGACCCGGTCCGTGGCCATTTTCCACCCGACACGTGATCCGCGGCCATTTTTCCGCCCCTGACACGTGGTCGTAGGGAGGGGGACTCTCCCTCCAAGCAATAGCCGCCTCCCTGTCCTCCACGCCAGAACGGATTAACGATAATTACATTGAATCTTATGGGAAAATTTGCTTCGGGTCGTGACCAATTCGGGTCGCGACCAGAGTCACAGAACGAATTAAGTTCGTAAACTGAGGTTCCACTGTATTTGAAAGACCAGCACAGTGCAATGTATTAGGCAGACTGCGAATTGGAAAGGCTCACTTGACTCTCTTATGCACTACAAGTGGAGATTGGTTTAGCTGGAGCCAGTGTGGAAGAGAAGGGGGTAGTGAAGACAACATTTCTGTACTGTGCCTTCTAATGGCATCTTCCCATTAATCTGGGCAATCTTCACACCCTATATTAAACTATTTGTCCTAGTGCAGTTAAGCTCTTCAAATCTGTGGGATGGTAATTCTGGTTTGTTATTTGCAATGGAACAGGGCAGGGGTGAGGAAGGAGGCAAGAAATAAGCCAAGAAGGATATATGTTCTTACCCCTAGCAAGTTGTCACAACATCCTTGGAAGTATTAAATTATCTTAGGCATATGAGCCCTTGCCAGATTCCTAGACAGAGGGAAAGCTGAGTTCACTTGCTGCATTAGGCCAGAAAGGGGGTGGGGGTGGGCTGGCTTAGCATGTTTGGAGCCATGCTGAATTGCAAGCCACGCGTTATGGCATAACAGAACGTGCGAGCCGAGCCAGTTTTAGTGATTTAGCAAGCTATGGTTAAGCCAATAATAGTTAGCATTGTGTTGAACTAAACTGTTCAGCCAGTTTAAGCTTACAGAGTAATCTTTATAATTGCCTGGGAATTATACTGAAATAAAACAACTGGTACTGGCAGAGTAAGAAATGTTGAAATCAGCAGATTTAGGCATGCTTAAGTCAGAGATATACGCATCCTAGGAAATCTAACTGGAATTTTTGTCAAGACATTGTACAGTATTGTACAGAATGACACCACTTAGGAAATATAACTTTTAGGAACGTAATTCAATGAAATCTATTTTTTATCCTTGGGGGGAAAAAGATAATTGAAGTTGCTAGTCTCTGCTTTCTTCTGGATGAAACACTTTTATACTGATTATTTTCTCTCATATATATACACACACACATACACATATATATGTATAGTGGCTGTGCAACACTTCGGAGTCTGTTGCTAAAAAGAGTGCAAATTGATGCAGATGTAGCACTAGTCTACAATTTAGCACAGCTGCACTCTTTCCTGGGATTACACAGCAGCTGTAGAGGACAGCCACGTGATCCTGGGAAGAGTTGCTTTAAGGCACTGCAGAGATGCTGTGTTGAAGTTCCTTGAAGCCTGAAGCACATTTAATTAGTCACTGACCAGGGCTGAGCAAAGCTCTTAAATACAAAGGCTTAAACTGCCTGGTCTTGTCCACTCAGCTAAGAATGCAACATTCTTTGCCTGGTAAAAAGGGTTCATAAAGACAGTTTACTTCAGCTGGAAAGACCTGATCTAACAACCTATTTTAATGAGATGCAACAAATCTTTAAAAACTAAATTAATGGCTAAGCATTCATTTACATCCTACCCTCATAGTAAGAGTGGGATGTAAAACACAACAGAGTGGCATACTTGTCTCAGCAAGCGGGACAAGTTAAACGTGCTATGGAAATATAGAAAATCTTTGCTTGGCAGAAGCAAATTCTTACTCATAAAGGGAGTAAATAAAAATTGCAGATGAGATAATGTCAGGTTAGTACACACCTGTTGGATTATTTGTCATGAAGCCCGCAAACAGCTAGCCCTTCTGTACCAACTTTTAGTTACCTCATTCAGCTAATCTCCCATGCCAAGGGAGTAATGCACCAGTGCATCAAGTACTTCCAATTTTCCTTCAGGATAGCAAGAAGTCCTCAAAGTTTCAGCGTTTTCAGATGGCCGATGGGAATTCAGCAGCACCCACCCCCCTTCAACCTCACACCAATTGTCAGAATTATTTGCTGACAGCCAAACCCAACAAAAAAAGGCATGGATGGCTTTAAAAAGGCCATTTTTTTAAGATCAAAAAAATACCAAGTTTAATTTGTAAAGCAGCCAAGTAATGATACTGATATGTCAGCTGGATCACAGGGTTAACTTCTTATGAGAAATGTTATGCAAGTAATCACTGAAAGAAAAGGAGAAGTTACTCAGAAGATGCAACACACTTAAGTGCTTTATCACTGCAATATCACTTGCTTTCTCTGTTAAGTCAGACACAACACAAAAGGTAGTGTTGTCCTCTTTTTTGATTGCAAAATTATCAAGTACATATTAATGACACATTCTTAATACCAACTAACAGAATTGAAGCATTCAGCTTGTTATGACCCTGGATAGTGGTTCTACATTTTTAGCATGTCGTATATCACTAAAAAGATACCAACTGTGAGACTGTACTGGAACACACAGCACAGTATGCACTGACATGCCTCAGCATGGCGTTGTCTCTACTTATCCAACTGGAGGACACTACAGCAAGAGAGAGTAGGGACCATGGCTGGCTTCATCACACTGCCCAAAACTACTACTATTCATATGCCATCTTAGCTAACTAAGCTTTAAGGAAAGCAGCAATTTGGCTTCCCACTGACTTCTGAGGGGGCTGCCACCACTTCTCTCATAATTACTGGTTAAAGATTTGCAACTTTTAGCTTTAACTTTGTCGCTGAAGATGGTGGAAAGCAATAGGTGCAGAGTTAACTGGGAATCCTTGAAGAATGTCAGAGGGAACACCCAGGAAAGCTCCAGGTATGTTTGCCAACCTCAGAGGAATGCCACACTATTCCCCTGAGGCAGGGCTGGTTTTCTCATGGCTCTCTCCTCCTTTAAGTGGGTGGAAGTGTGTGCATGTGATGAGACCTCCAAAGCATTATTTCAGGCTGGGAACACACACTGATGTGCTGAGGTAGGTGGCACCCAATGTGAAGGCAAAGACTGAATATCAAAGGGTTGCACAATACCAGTTCTAGACAGTCCTCTTTTCCTAAAGCTGTATCCCATACACACCTACAGTGGGGCAAAAAAGTATTTAGTCAGCCACCAATTGTGCAAGTTCTCCCACTTAAAAAGATGAGAGAGGCCTGTAATTTTCATCATAGGTATACCTCAACTATGAGAGACAAAATGGGG